TTTTATGGTTTTAGAAGTCGTGGCAAACCGAATCGGCACACATATTTCTGTACTAATCTGACAACAAGCTAAACGGTTATGAAATATTTATTTGAATATGAAATTAATCCGTTTATAAGAGATGGAAATAACGCCATCATTTATGTAAACCATGACGATTCGTCTTGTTGAAACGTGAATATAACCCAAGTGAATTGTCATAATTTACCTAAACGATCCCGTTGATTCCCGTCCCTTACAAATCATAAACCATGAAATATGAAAATCTGAAATTTAATATGAAGAGTAAACACTTAATTTACAAGACAATACATTAAAAGTTGTAAACTAAATTTACGATTGAACTATCATTTTCCGCTACTTCGTACATATGGATTTCAGAAGTAGAAAAACTAATTAAATATACTTCTAGATCAAGGCAAAATATACATCAGATTTTAAGTTAGACCTTTAAGAACGAATAAAATTTTCGAAACAGACAAAAACTAAGAAAGGGCGAGGGATGGGCAGTAACGTCCCTCTTAAAACATCAAAACCTAATTGTGGTTATCAACCCGCCTGCTAAACGTGACAACTACTGGCTAAACACTCCAATAAAGAGAGGCCTATGTCCAGCAGTGGACAGTTAACGGTTTTTTGTTTTCTTTAGTGTATGACACTGGCGGGGCACCAGTGGGGGATGATAAATGAGGAGGCAAGCAGGTCAGTTAGCCTATCCTGACGAATTCAACTAGAATTAACCACGACGGTTTCCAGGGGGAACCACGTGCAGGTCGACCTGACAGCATATATTGCTAGTTATGGAGCTATTTGACCTCATTACTAACAATCTCTTTCTCTCCACAGTTAACGGCTGATATAATAAATAAACATAGACAAAAAAAATGGCATCTGTTTATAATATCTGTGTAAAAATGAAGAATGTAATATAATACTTGGTACATCACGTTAAGTCCAACAGTTTGTCCACATTACGTGATCGATGGTGAAATAATCTTACACTCGCCTTTACTAAACGAAAAGAACACAGTGTTTGTATTGGCACGAATTTTATTGTGTCGCCATCTTGACAAACAAAATGGCGGCCACTCGACTCATATTACAAGGTTTACTAAGCCGTGTTATTTTACGGGGGAGCCTTCTTGCACGTTTACTTAACCCTTCGTAAATCGTAATATTTTCTGAAGGTTCTAATAAAAATTATTAGTTAAAAAGTATTTATTTTAGTTCAAATAAAATATCTCCATTGCTAATAATTTCAATGTGTTAGTATAAATAATTATGTCACATAATATCTGCCCTTTATACGCTTTCTGTTTTTACTTAATGGTTAGCTGGTAAAGGATGCAACATGGCATTAAGCTCGCCATTTGTACAAAGTTTTATTGTGCAATAAAGAATAAAGAAATTAAATAAGTAAATAATATAAGTTTTTTACTATTCTCTTCTATGTGTATAATATAATATATCTTATATTTAACTAGTCTGGCCATAAATATTGTTACGTTAATTTTTTTTTAACTTTTTAATTATTTTGAATTTGGAACAAGTTTATTATTTTAAAACTTCTTTCGATTTCGCGCCATTTCATATATTTTTTCGTGTTCATTAGATTCGTGGCCAGACAGATTAAAGGCCTGTATAAAAGCCAAAGGTGGCCATTTCGAATAGAATATTTTTTTTTATTTTTTGCTGAAACTTAATAAATATGTAGCTATAAATTTTAGTAATATTACATTTGTTCATAAAAAAATGCATTTTCATTTGTAACAGAAATTATGGTTGGACTAAATATACGAGTATGTGTGAGTATATTTGTTATTTATATATATTTATTGGTTTATCTGTGTAAACTTTACACTAATTAATAAACTGTGCCAACCCGCCTGCCAAGCGTGGCAACTACTGGCAAAATCCTCTTTACTGGCAGTATTAAAGAAAAAAATATATAAATATTAATATTGAGGCATATTTAGACTTATAGATAGAATGTCGAGTATCAAAAACATGTCAGATGTGTTGAGTAGCCTAATGTGAAGATCGTAAAAGTGGTTTTTTAATCAAAGCGCACTTTTATTTCAGTGTTGCACGTAAAATGTACATATATATATATATATATATATATATATATATATATAATAAATCTTGGTTAATTATTGGTGAATTCATCACGATGAGTCAATGAACTTCATCCTCACCTGTCTATGATAGTGGTATACCAACATATAGTGGTAGCACAGACGGGTTTACTATTCCATTTTCGTCCCAATGACAACTTACTTTAAATAGGAAAATATGTTGTTCTCTGATACAACATTTTGGTATTCAGAGAGCATAACTACATAAAATTGAATTTGTGTCCCTTATGGTAATTTTGACCATCCTTGACGGTACAATCAATTTAATTTATTTATTCATAAACCCATAATGTTACTGTATTCGAATTTGGATAGGAAGAATATATCGTCATAATCGTAGAATACTGACGGATCTTTATATGTAATATTTGTCAGATCCGTCAGTATTCTACGACTATGACGATATATATAATTACTAGATTAAATTACCGATGAATTTAATACTACCTACAACGCCATCTGTTAAAAGTAATCCGAAGTAATGCTTTCCGTACAAAATTACTTATTTTTAGTTATTCTATTTTTAAACTGAACTGTAAGGTTTTTCAAACATTTTTTTTTTCTTTTAAACTATCCCTGTATTTTAACGAATGAAACAAAAAAATATATAATCAAATCGGTCAAGTCGTTTTTGTAGTTTAACGAGACAAATTAACTGCAAAATATTTTCATATATATAAATAATAGAATATTAATAACATAAATAATTGTATCAGTTAAAATACAATAATCATGTTTATTTCCAATTGACAATTAATGACTGAAATGATAATAATGATTGTAATATATATATATATATATATATATATATATATATAAATATATATATATAATATATATATATATATAGAGAGAGAGAGAGAGAGAGATATATATACTCACTCGCTAAACTCAAAAACTACTCAATCGATTTTAAAAATTCTTCCATCCCTACAAAACTATATTATCAGCGGCCAACAAAGGTTATGTACATATATACATATGTATATATTATATTATTCTCGAAAATTCCATTTATCCGTGCGAAGCCACGCCGGATTATTAGTGTAATATATATTAGCTTAGGCTCTTATCCTTACTAATACTACAAGTGACAAAGTGACTTTATTTGTCACACCTCTGCTCCCAACGGCCCTGCCAGTCCTTATGAATGTCGGTATACAGGGCGAATGAAAATGAAAGTTGGTATACAGGGTGAATGAAAATGAAAGTTGGTATGTATGAGAGGGAGACAAATACTGTTCAACCGACTTTAAAAAAGGAGGTAATATTATTATATGTTTGTTGTCTCACAACTTCGTCATTTATAAACCGATTTGGACTATTTCTGAATCTGAAAGGATAAACCTTCTGTTTTTAAATCTAAATAAACAGTTTTGCCTGAATTGATGGCTGTTTTTTTTTTTCGGAACACAATGACTATACTAATATAATAAAATTGAAACTGTCCGATGTCTGTGCATGGGATACATTGAAACATCTGGCTAGGTGTGAGTTGAACTCACTGACCGAGGGTTCCGTACTTTATCTACGGAATCAAAGTCTCTAAAATAGAATAGAATAGAAATAAAAAAGATAAATTTGGTTCCTTTGTACCTGTTTGTACGGAACCCTAAAAATGGTATAGAAGCAACAGAGCCCAAAATAATAATTTTTGCTGTATATTTGTCTGTATGTTTATTTTGGCATCATGCAAAAAATAATGAACTAAATTGGATGAATTTGCAATTTTCACAGATTTGTTCCTAAAGGTTTGAGTTAAAATATAATGTATGTTTACTTTTTTTTATGCAACTTGGCAACCAAGAAAGGCAAACAAGCTGACGGCCCACCTGATGGAAAGCGGTTACCGTCGCCTATAGACATGAGCAGTACCATGGACATAACAGAATATACTGTTTCGCCCATGATACCCGCCATGTGTTGCCATTCCTGAGGACTCAGGCGTTATTCCTCTGTACCCTGTATATTCAAGCCTAATTAATTAATAATTAATTTTAATTTATGAAAAAAGCTAGTATTTAAATGACTGTAAAACTGCATGACTCATGGTAGTTTTTTTAATGGATGAAAATGAAATGGTAGCCCTGCCTGCGCTAACAATACTTGCTGGTGAGGCACCAGTGAGGGATGAGAGATGAGTAAGGCATGTCAGTTAGCCCTTCGTAGTGAATACACCTGGAATTCGGCACGATGCTTCCCATGGGGGGCCACGTGGAGGTCGACCTAACAGGGTATATTGCTAGCAATAGGACTGGTCGTTCGCATTACTAACAATCCCTTTCCCCCCTGACTCACGATAGTTAGGTATTATTCAACATTACTCATTCTATGACTAATAATTTTACTACTATCTTATCTGTGAATTTGATTATAGATACAAGTAAGAGAGAAGGAAAATTCGAAATAAAAACCTATACCGAACTATCTGGCCAGTGTAATCATAGTGGGCAAATAAGACCTAATTGAAGGATTATTATGGAAAAAAATCCGTTTCCAACAGTGGAACCTTGTGACGTCGATAAACATATACATACATATATAATATACAATTATTTTTAAACAAGTACACATAATTTTTCTATTATTCACCCGATACAAATTGTCCTGTTCAAATTATTTATTATTATTAAAAAAAAAATGCACTCAACTCTATGGAGTGCAACTGACATTGTAATAATAACTGGTCTAAAATATCAATGTCAATCTATTACGTATTCTATCGTATAGAATTGATAAGGTGCATTTTTATTTGTACTAACAACAATAACCGTGAGTCACAAGGAATGTATTCAACGACTGCATCGTTGTACTTTGTTTATCATGCCCAACGCCCAATAGCCGGGCTGTTTTGCGTGTGTGTAGCGGTTTAGTTGCTCTCTTAACGCTACGGTGAGGTCACGTGCGTTTCTCGATCACCATATTTTTATTAATTTCAAGAAAAACGTGTTAATAAATATAGTTAGTGCATATTAGAAGTTTTAGCAGTTATCGTTTGTGTTGTTTTTGGGTTAATTAACTGTTATTTTTAACGAACACGATTGTTTTTGTGTTGTTGACTGGACGAAAATACATAGTAAGGCGTGTGTACGTGCGTATTGAGTGTAACGCACCTACTTCTATATCGTATTTTTTTTTTGTGATATGTTTACGGCTTTGGAATTCATGAATGTGAGACAGATAAGTAGTGAGGTTTTTTACAATTTTATTGTGAAATAGATTAAGGTGATAAACAGTTATTACAAATAGGCGTTGTCGATTGATAACGTTCTAGTATCACATGGTAAATTGGAATCATACTACAGTTGTAACACAAAATGGGTATACATTGTGAAATTAATTTACATAAAAGAGCTGACGGTGCTTTTGTACCTGGAAGTGTGGTGTCTGGTACTATAAAGTATGGTGTCGACGTCCCAACGGAGTTTAAGAAGATAACTGTTTCGTTAAAAGGCAATGGGTTTCTGATAATACATGATCGGCAAGCCAAAAACAAAGGACGTGCTGTAGACAGTTATAGAAACAGCGAAGATTATGTTGATATTGATAATGTTATTTATACTAACGAGAAAAAAGATAATCCATTACCAATAGGCATGTATGAGACTCAATTCAGCTTCAAATTGCCCGAAGAAGTGCCAGCATCATTTAAATACCAAAAACGTGCAGCGAGATACAGAGTAAGATGCTATATCGAATACTACGTACGAATAAAATTTGAAACGATAGGCTTATTTAATTTAAATAAGAAGTTCAAGAAAGAAATAACAGTAGTGTCTGGCATCAAACCTAGGTTACCTACAGATCCAGTTATATATGGAGAAGTAAAGAAGCTTCTTTCGTTATTCTCCAAGAATAACACAGTCGACATAAAAGTGAATGTTCCAAAATCAGTGATCAGTACGGGTGGTAAGATAGAATTCAGTTATGAAATATTTAACGATACAAATCTTACGATTAAAGGTGTGGAGGCGAAATTGGTAGAACTGCACACGTTTAAGTCTCACGGATCAAAAGAAGTGGAAATGTCCAAAGATATAAAAGATACAGATTCCAAAACTGGATCTATAGCAAGTGGTGAAAAGAAGACTATAGATGTCGTGATTAATGTACCTTCAGAGAGAACGTCGTTAGAACATTCCAAAATTGTGTCTAGAGAGTATTTTGTTCACATAGAAGCAATCATACCGTTCCCTCACTGGAATGCTGTACTAAAGTTTCCAGTTCAGATCGGTGATGTTATGGGTAATATTCATGAATCAGAGAATAGTGATGCACCACCATCGTATTGGGAAGTGATGATGGGTGATGAGAAAGAGAAAGGTGAAGAAATCGATGACGTCGATGACTATGAAGATGAATCTTAAATAGACGATTTATAATATCAACCATTGTGCTTGAAGATAGCACATATATTTTTGTAAATTGTCATTTTACAATGTGAATGTTATCTCTGTCTCGCGTTTGTTATTTTAATAGATTTTTAACTGTCATTTTAATTGTAATTCAAGTTAACAAATGTTCATTTAAAATATCATTATTCTCATATCAGCCTTTAACTGTCCACTGCTGAAGACAAGTCTCCCTTTTAGAGGGTTTTCCCAGTAGTTGCCATGCTTATTATTGTATAAAATTAATTTAAAATATGTCTTATAATGTACACTTATTTAAAAACACTATATATTCCTAGTTGACAAAGTAGTAGTTTAAAAGTGATCTATCGATGCATATAAGTGTTAAAAGCATAAAATTTATAATAGAAATGTTTTATAATGCAGCTAATAATTAATAACTACCAAAGAGTAGGTAACATCATGAATAAGATACGAAATAATCACTTGTTTCTTCATAATTCCATACGAAAATAAATAACTTGTAATTTTAATTAATTTTAAAAGTATTGTACTTGTAATTCTTAAAAACAAATTTATTATTAAATTATAAATGTAATATATAAGTAATTAAGGTTAATTTAAATAGAAATAATACTGCCATTATTTATTATAATTTTTGTATGTTGTTCACATGCACTTAATTTGTTTATTACCAGATTACCAGAGGGAGACTGTACAAAAGTCGATTGTTTGGGTACCTCTGTCCCATTCGTGTTTCAAGCGTGAAGCAGTTGTGTTTGCATGGCTGTGTTTCGGTTTGAAGGGTGGGATATGGCGTGAATTTGCTGGGTACAGAGGAATAACACCTGAGTCCTCAGGAATGGCAACGCATGGGGGGTATCATGAGCGAAACAGTATACTCTGTTATGTCCATGGTACTGCTTATGTCTATAGGCGACGGTTACCACTTTCCATCAGGTGGGCCGTCAGCTTGTTTGCAATTCTAAGTTGTATAAAAAAAAAATTTATGCAACTTAGAAACAAGATATGTCCGTATGATAATCTAAAATATGTAATTTGTTTATAATAGAGAAAGCAAATATATATTAATATTCATAGTAGTTTCTTACCCACAAGAATCTGTTGATTTGATCTGATGAAGTACAAAGTAGAGATAGGTAATATCCAATATATATATATATATTGAGTTACTCTGGATAGTGATGACCGCCCATTACGATATCTTCTATACCAGTCCAATATCTATATTAATTACGAGCGGGTATTTGTTTTCGATATTATTGTATATATTGGTTAATCGATAGTGAAAATACCTATTTTTGGGCCAATATATATGTATAGATATTGTAACTACAGTATATAGATATTGCTATACTTTACCCACCATTAGTACAAAGTAATTATAATTTTGTATATTAAATAGTTAATATAAATGGTACAATATCAATATTTGTATTAAAATCATCGAAAAGTACAAGGAAATGAATTACAGTACAAACTTAAGCGTTTATGTATAAGATGTATGACTGTATGTGTGTTTAATTTCTTTTTTTAATTATAAACTTTTATATTATTGTAATATTGCAGTTTTATTAAACACTAGTGACCCGTTCCGGCTTCGCATGGGTAGTCAAATACGAAGATAAATTGATATTTTTAATTATGTATTACTTGGACCAATAAGAACAATATATATATATATAATAATATACAATATATATATATATATAATAATAAACAGACCAGTTAGCACATTATGACGAATTCACAAGGAATTAACCATGACAGTTTCCAGGGAGAACCGCAAGGCGGTCGACCTGGCTGGGGATTCTTAGTCTCCATCACTAACAATCACTTTCCCCTCTCGAGTTTATATTAGTTTTCCTAGTATAAGGTGACTAAGATAAAGTAAACGTGTCCAGCCATTGCTGGATACGTTTACTTTGTATAATGGATAATAAGTGGCCATTTTGGAATTCTTAACACTAGGGAATGACACTCATACGAGCACCAGATTATACAACTTAGAATGGTAAACAAGCTGACGGCCCACCTGATGGAAAGTGGTAACCGTCGCCTATAGACATGAGTAGTACCGTGGACATAACAGAGTATACTGTTTCGCCCATGATACTTCCCATGCGTTGCCATTCCTGAGGACTCAGGTGTTATTCCTCTGTACCCAGTAAATTCACGCCATATCCCACCCTTCAAACCGAAACACTGCCATGCAAACACAACTGCTTCACGGTTGAAACACGAATGGGACAGGGGTACCCAAGCAATTGACTTTTGTACAGTCTCCCTTTGGTATAAAATATTCTGCATGTATAAAACTTTTTAATGAAACTAGTTTAAATGAATGTTTTGACAAGATTTATACCAAACGGAAGTACATTCTTTTCTATACGCGGTAACATATGTTCGCATATTAAAAATGGCCGCAAGGGTTGCCATCATCTAAAATTTTGTTCTAGATGATTGTTTTGCAGTAACAGGGAAATGGTACTTTTTGATAAGACCTATATTGAATAGAAGTGTATTCTTTTTTCTATAACACAGGGTTGCGTATAAGAAATTAGCGCAAGCAAAGGTTGCCACCTGGAAACCTGATTGCGGCTAACTGCCGGCAAGTAGAGGGGAAAGGGATTCTTAATAGATGCGCACTACCAGTCCCATTGTTAACAATATACCCTGTCAGGTCGACCTCTACGTGGTATCCTCTGGAAGCCAACGTCATGAATTTCACTATGAGCTACCTGTCCTGCTTTTTCTTTCTCACTTTTCATTACTCACTGGTGGCCTACCAGCGCATACCTTTAATGCTGGCGGGGTTACTATTCATTCCATTACCATCCTTTAAAAAAACTGGTTTTAGCCGGTAGGAGTTCGGCAGTACCCATACGCCTCCCCCGGGGCGTTTGGGTCTGCATGATGCATTTCCCCACGAAAAAAAAGGTTATAAAATCGTGTTGTAGTTTTGTTAATGATTGCTCAGAATTTTTGATTAGGCGCTACGAGTTCACGATAAAGTCATACTTTCATACTAATATCATTATTGTCGTGCCCAGAGGAAAGTGGGTAGTAGAGAGGGAAACAGTTTTCCTCTCTGCCTTTGAAAATTGTATGTCCTACGATATATATGCGTTAACTTTTGAAAAAAAAACAGCGCAGAAAGTAGGCCACAATCGCCACATATCTGACTTGCCATGATGATAATGGAATCGATATACACCGGCGGGGCACCAGTGAGGGATGATAAGTGAAATTGAAAGAGCAGCTCAGTTAGCCCATCGTGATAAATACAGCTGGAATTCAACACGATGGTTTCTAGGGAGGACCATGTGGAAGTCGACCTGTCAAAGTATATTGCTAGTAATGACAATGGTATCGGCATTACTAACAATCCCATTTCCCCTGACTCACGGTAGTTAGGTATTATTCGTTACAGGATATATAGACATACCTACTACCTTAAGGGGAACTACCAGTCTCATTGCTGGCAATATACCCTATATTGCTAGCAATGAGATTTGTAGATCGCATTATTAATAATCCTTCCCCCCCCCCTCCTCCCACCGCACAAGCGGGGTTACTATTTTATCGTCACCCATTAAAATATATGGTATGTATATCAATGAAATATTTCGTTCTTAATAGCATTATTCAGGGGGGAAAGGGATTGTTATTAATGGCGACTGAGAATCCCATTGCTAGCAATATACCCAACCAGGTCGACCTCCATGCAGTTCTGCCTGAAAACTATCATGGTTAATTCCTGATGAATTCTTCATGATGGGCTAACTGGCCTGTTTTCATTCTCATCTATCACCCTTCACTGGTGCGCCGCCAGCGTATCCCGTTAGCGCAGGCGGAGTTACCATACTATTTTCACCCATCAAAAAATAAAAAATAGCATCATTTACATAATTATGTTGTAGACAAAAATGTCAAACTATACAAGACTATACCGCGAATGTAATTGTTTCATATTTCGCAGAATAAATTTCCCACGCAAAAACCAATGTCATCATAGACATGTAAATCCTCCTGACAATATTGTATTAAACAAAGTGGCAATATTAAGGTGAAACAAGGTAAAGGAAGGTGAGACAAGGTGAGATATTTATACTGACGTGCAGTCTGTATCTTATTTATTATTAAAAATTTCATAAATACCTACACATTACGTTTTAATGTGGCTGTGTGATCCCGGCATAGGATAGGCCACGCCTTCCTTTCATATGGGTGTTGTAAGAGGCGACTAAGGTAACTTAAAGACCGAAGGATGGGCAGCAGCGTCCCTTTTAAAACATCTCTAAAGCCTAAATGCTGTTGTCGACCCGCCTGCCAATCGTGGCAACTACTGGCAAACTCCCCTTATAGGGGAGGCCTATGTTTAACAGTGGACAGTTTTTTTATTACAACTTAGAATGACAAACAAGCTGACGGCCCACCTGATGGAAAGCGGTAACCGTCGCCTATAGACATAAGCAGTACCATGGACAGAACAGAGTACACTGTTTCGCCCATGATACCTCCTATGAGTTGTCATTCCTGATGACTCAGATATTATTCCTCTGTATCCTGTAAATTTACTGCCATATCCCACCCTTCAAACCGAAACACAGCCATGCAAACACAACTGCTTCACGGTAGAAACACGAATGGAACAGAGGTGGCCAAGCAAACGACTTTTGTACAAATTTCCTCTGGTAAATAGTCATTCGCTCTATGAATCTTAGGCTGTATCGACGTGAAACATGTCTAGTATTTCTTATCATAATGTAGCTTGAAATTTCAACTCTATGAATAACATTAGATGATAATATTATTCAATGAATATTATTTATATAATATACGAAAAATTATATAGAAGTATATTAGATAATTCCCATAACTCGGGAGGGGGGGGGGGACTGGGATTGTTAGTAATAGGGAAGTTAGAACTCATTGCTATCAATATACCCTATCAGGTCGACCTACATGCGGTTCCTCCTGGAAACTATCGTGACTAATGTATCATTGAATTCGTCACGATGGGCTAACTGACTTGTCTTTTCATCCTCGCCAATTATCCCTCATCTACCCCAAACCTTAAACTTTTAGACTTTAAATTATGGCCACTTTTAGAGGACATAACTTTGCTCTAAACGACACGGCGACAATGAGTCTCTTAAAAAATCTTTAGAGCAAGCAGTGGCGAAATTTCCCTTGGAAATTGTGTAAATCCATAGATTCGTGGCAAGACAGATTAAAGGCCTGTATAAAAGCCAGAGGTGGCTATTTCTGTTACAATATTTTCTTATTTTTTGCTGAGACTTTAATAAATATGTAAGTATATTAATTAATTATTTTACTAATATTACATTACTTCATAAAAAAAAAATACATTTTAATTTGTAACAGAACTTACGAGTATTTTTAACTGTTTTAAAAATGGAAGAGACTCTGAAATCAGTTGATGTATTTATTTTTTATGGTTATTACCTCAAAACTCTGTCATTTATAAACTGATTGTGATTATTTATTTGAATAATTTCAGTTTGGGAATATAACATTTTTATCAAAAACGGTTTAGTAAATAAAGTTTTTAAATCAAAATAACTGGTTTCGCTACCATTAAATCGGCGATTGTGGTTTGGATAGGTTATATTTGATTTTTGTTAATGTAGATATTGTGGTATAATAGCATTAAACTTATGAATGGCGATGTAGTGTAGGGCACCATTAGTATCATGGTATATTTTGTCTGTGGTGCTGTTTATAGGCAATGTTTATTATTTTTTTGTTCAGATGAGTTGAAAGTTGTATTAGAAATACTTACACTGTAATGTGGTTTTATGTTTAGTGTAGTGTGTGTTTAGTGTCTTAAAAGAAAAAAAAACAGAACATTTATAAGATCTGTCTCTTAAGACCATTTTCTCCAAAACGTGTGGAGGCATTTGCAACCCCTTGAAATTGTAAAGCAAACAAATTTCTAAGTCTTCTAAACTGCACATTTGTACTTACATAAAAAAAGTTGCTGAATATTTTTTTCCAGTAATTTAAACGAAACCCTCGAAGTGCGAACCTGACTCGCATTTGGTCGGTTTTGTTTTGTTAACTGTTTGGTCACAAGCTATTTTTGAATAAATTAAAAAACATAATTTTCTATATTCCAATTTGATTTTTAATTTTTCTATTCAACTCCATTTAATCACACGGTGATTGCTCACGTTTTATAATTATGTATGTTAGAACATTACATTGTTTGGTTTACTGTTACTGTCTCAACAAGAAATGAAATATAGTAATCTCCAAAGAATGATAATATCATCCATTTTGAACGCAAAGTGGATCAGGTATTTACTTAGGCTGAAAATAGATTTATCAACAGTCAAATCCATTCTATAGAGACTGTATCATTTTATCTAGTAGATAAGATTACACACAAAGTGTGATAATATTACAAATAGACACAGAATGTCATTTTCATAATTATTATCAGAATATAAGAGCATCACACATTCGCGAAAGCACTGCGGTGTGATATGGGTGTTTTAAGTGAAATAAATATTTTTCCATCGCCCGATGCAATCCACGAAGCGGGAAGTGATATATTTGGCTTTGTTAAATATTCAATTGATGAGGAAACTGTATTTAATGAAATAGATATCTCACTAACTGGACGTGGCACGTTAATTGTAATAGAAAGTGTAAAATCAGGCGATAGACAAACTGAGCACATATTTAGATATACGGAAGACTATATCAAATTGAACAATACAATTGTTAATAATGACAACGTTACACCAGTTGGCGTTTATGAGATTCCAATTCATTTTAAACTAGCAACTAATATTCCGTCTTCATTGAAATATAACACGACTATTGGTAATTATAGAATTAATTGCACTATTGCCTATGAAGTAACTGTTACATTTAAAAGAAGTGGATTTAAATTCGACAAGACTCTTAGTAAACCTATTCAAGTTATATCAGGCATTGTTCCTAGGCTACCTAGAAAACCAGTAACTTATGGTCATCAAAAGAAAATACTCATATTACAATTCTTCTGTAGATGGACTGGACTAGTGAACATAAAAGCTGATATAGAGACATCTGTTATTGAACCAAGTGGAAAAATAAAATTGTCTTACATTATATTTAATGACACAAACATAACTATAAAGACTGTTCAGATAAAACTTGTAGAATTATACACATTTTCTGATAAAATATCTAGTAAATTATTAAAATATAATGATGTGAAAGATACTGAATCAAAGACTAGAACAATTAAAAGTGGTGATACTCAGTGTATGGAAATAGACATCGATTTGCCTCCAGAGAAGACTACAATTGAATTTTCTAAATTGGTATCGAGAAATTATTTCGTTCATATTATAGTAGTACTTCCTATTCCATATAGAAATTTGGTGCTTAAAATACCAGTGCAAATTGGAAATGAAATTGTAAATAATAATGGAAATGAGAATCCACCAGCATATCACGAAGCAATAGAAATATATTAGATACCCAGTCTTATCATTTATATAATTAACTCAAACACTCTAAATGTCAAAGTTATTAATTATGTAATTAACATGTGAACTTAGTTCATGTAGATCTCATAAATATAAGAATAGTCCTTACTAATATTATGAATGTGAAAGTGTGGAAGTTTGTTTTTTTTTTATTTGTTGGTTTATTACCTCTAGGCAACTTAACAATGCAACCAATCGTCATGAAATTTAATAAAGAAATGCTGTTTGGGATGAAGAAGACTATATATACTTTATCCTATATATCTCGGATCCATGAATTGTTCATAATAGGTATTGGCATGATGCCAAAAAATTATTATATACCCATGTTAATAAAATAAGAATCATATTTTTTTAGACTTTCAATGTTAGTCTGTCTAAGGTCAGATTTTTTTCAGTAGTATTAATATCTAGTTATAAATTACTCGTATTAATAAAGTTTTTCATAATATTTCGAGAAAGTATTATAAATTTTCGATCATCAACTTCGACACCTTTTTATTCGATGAAATATTTGGAGATTTATAATCTTGTTTCCTTATACTACTTTATTGTCTAGGTTACTGTTGTTTATGTTTTCAAAAAGTTTCACGTATTGACCTTCTTAAAAATTTTACGAAAGATAAACACTGGATTAATCCAGAAAATATGATTCTAACACATTCCAGAATTACAGATCATTGATATAGATATCTAGATGGATAAAATTATATGATAAAGTGTTAATTCCTTTCATAAAAATATTAGAATAGGCATAATCAAAATTTATTCAAATTTTCTCAATATATGGATAAAGACGTAAAAACAACTGATTTAAATTATAAAAATATTTGTATCGGTCTTTGTATCGTAAAATATAAAATATTTCCAGATAGTGTCGTGTTTATTAGTTTTATCATAAATACCAGTACTTAACAAGTAATAGTAGATAACTCATGTGTTTTTCATTCTTACTAATAGTATTATTTTCGTGTTGAACGTTAGTTGAAATGAGAATTTTTTGCGAAATAGATGTATATAAACTTGACAACGAAGAATTTAAACCAGGAGAGGAAGTGTTTGGATTAATTAGATATGCAATTAATGAGAAGATCGTGTTCCATAAAATAACAGTCTCTTTAAAAGGGCATGGACGTTTACGTATAATAACTAAGGATAGAAAAAACAATCGTGAATATACTAATAGGGAAGAGTATGTAGATATTGACAGTGTTATCGTTAATAGTAATAATGAATTAAATCTGCCTAAGGGAAATTATAAAACAAAATTCAGTTTCAGACTTCCAGAAAACATACCACCTTCATTTGTACATTGCGGTAATAAAGGTGGTTATTTGATAAAATGCAAGATTTTTTACTACATTCGAATCAAATTTAGTAGGTGTGGTGTATTATCGGTGCCGAAGAGATTCAAGAAAGAGATTATAGTGGGAGGGGCATTTACACCAACATTAACAAGGAGTCCAATAATTTATGGTAAACAGAAGAAAATAGTGAAATTGTTCTCTGGAAATAATACAATAAATATAAAAGCTGATATTGAAAATTCTGTGATTAAAGTTGGTGAAATAGTTACATTTGGTTACGAAATACTAAATAATAAACACGTTAAATTGAAAGGTGTTAAAGTGAAATTAATGGAAGTATATTCGTTTAAAGCGAAAGGATTACATAGCGTTAAAAAGTTCAGTAACATTGAAGGATTCTTATCAAGAACCGCAGCAATAACAGGCGGTGGTAATCAGAAGTTGGATTTTGCGATTATTCTGCCATTCGATAAGAAGACAATACAATATTCTAAAATAGTGTCTAGAAATTATTTTCTCAGAATAAAGGTATTATTCCCGATATTTCGACAGAATTTAACACTCGATATACCAATTGAGGTTGGTAATGAAATTGGGGCGGAATATATGAGTTTGCCACCACCACCGTCATATTGGGAGGTGATGGGTGAGTGTGAAAAGAGTAAACTGTTTGGTGATGATGATAAATTTATAACGGATGAGGAAATATAAATAATTTTAATTATTAAACAATTAGCTTGTGCACGTGACTTTGTTCACGTGAATGAGATAAAAATAGTGTTTATCCTTCTCCATCCCAAATACTAAATTTCATGATAGTTAGTCAAAATATTACGACGCTAAGAGATAATAAAGAAACTTGATTGATTTCTAGTAAAAATTTTATAAATTGTTTTTGTCAGATATCACTATTGATAAATCAAGGTATTTATCTACGACTCCATTTAACTTGTGTAAACCAGTTATGTAAATTCAGAGTGAAAAAAAATATTTTCAATATTGTAATGTAACATAGATAAATATTTATTTTAGGTGTATGAAATATGTGATATATAAAAATATGTATATGTGTATTGAATAAAATTACTTGACTTTCTATTTTTTTTTATTAATCACTAAAATTTATATTATATATATATATTATATAGCTGTATTCTGCAATTTCGTCTACCTGAATCGGTATATAAAGTATCATATATATCATAACCTATCATATATGTACCAAATTTCATTTAAATCCATTTAAACCTAAATAGGTCTAAATAGGTAAATACCTGAAAGAGTAACAAATATCTATTCATTTTTAATCCATCGATTTTTTCACATTTACCTAAGTAATAATACATACACTGTTTTAATCAATATGTATATATATGTTTGTGCCTACTCTAATAGGGGACAGACGTATGTATGTATGTTTGATTAAAGCTTATTAAAGTGTAGCAATTTTCTATAAATATTCAAGAACAAACAATTATAAATATTTTTGATTGATTATATAAAAAGTTCTTTGGTAGTGATTTAAAATGTTAATCGTGTCTGAACTGCAGCAACATAGATTTTATTTAATTTATATATTAATCAATCGACTTCATGGACACTCATCGTTATAGTTAATATAAATAAATAAAAAATAAAATAAAAAAAAAATGCATGTTATAACAGTTTTATTCAAAATCAACCCACGGAGTGCTAATAATAACAATAAATTTGAACTAATACAGTGATGTACTTAAAGTATATTGTGTAAAAATTATGCAAATAATAAAATAAATATAATAAATTTGTGATGAGTGGCAAACTAATAGTACAAAATCTGTCCCTTTTTTATAATTTTAATTCTATAATGATAAAATCAATAGATATTAGTTTTCCTTTAAAGTCTTATCATAGTGAATATGAATATCAGTCCTTCACAAGTGATAATATATAACGTGAGTGTGTGTTTGATTAGTCATAACTCTATAGTTGTTTTGTATCGAAGTTTCCTTTCAAATGGGTATATTTTGTGAAATTAATATAGCTAAAGCTGGCAATGGAGAATTCAGGGCCGGGGATGTTGTATCTGGTTCGATCAAGTATGCAGTTGACGTGAATACTGTATTTAAAAATATAACTGTTTCTTTGAAAGGAGTTGGAAACTTATACATAAGAGATACACAAAATAACAAAAGTTCTGATTACTTTAATAAAGAGGAATACGTGGACATTGATAGTATTATAGAACATGAAGAAGTTTTGCTACCCACAGGACAATACGAGACACAATTTAGTTTTGCACTTCCAGAGAATATACCTCCATCATTTGCATATCGTAGTAATGAATATGATTACTACATAAAATGTAAGATTTCATACTACATTCGAATTAAATTTGATAGACCTGGTATGTTACAATTACCTGTGAGGTTCAAAAAAGTAATTGCAGTGCGAACAGATTTGATTCCAACGCTACCGAGAGATCCAATAATATACGCGAAACAGAAAAAGGTAATAAAATTATTCGCTGCCAACAAAATAATGAGCGTAAAAGCTAATATCGAAAATTCAGTGATTAATGGTGGTGAAACAGTGAGATTTAATTATGAAATATTCAATGACATAAATGTAGAAATAACAGGCGTTGAAGTGAAATTAGTAGAAGTACACAAATTTAAAGCCAGTGGATTGTATGATGTGAAGAGGTATAAAAATATTGGAGCACAACATAGAACAGCTGGAATAAAAGGTGGTGACACCCAAAAAGCCGATTTTGCTATTACTATACCATTTGATTTGAGAACACTGCAATACTCTAATATAGCATTTCGAGATTATTTTGTCAAAATAAAAGTGCTCTTACCATCTTTTCGACGTAATTTTGCACTTCATATTCCAATCGAAGTTGGTGATAAAAATGGAGAAGCAGGTGTACATTCTAAGTCGCCACCATCTTATTGGGAGGTGATGGGTGAATGTATTAAGGATAAAGCTTTTAATGATAATAGCTGGTCAACGGACGAAGACATGTGAATTAATTATATGTTTAGTAATAATTCTTCTAATATTCAGTATTTTAACAGTTCAAAATACTAAATATAAAAACATTTATCACTAATCATATTGAAAGTACCTTGATAACCTGTTACATAGGTTTATTCCTATCTAGCTTAAGTATCACTTTTCAAATTTGAGTGTGTGTAATCACTATTTTCTTTTTAGTCATAGTAATTTTATACATATTTTATATAATTAATATATAATTTGTAACATCAAAATATTAAATTACATGAGTCACGAAAATATTTGTTTTAAATTTTAAACAAACGCTAATCCTAAAGATTTAAAACATTTTTTTTTTATTAAAACGAGCATGCGGCTCCCCTGATGGTAAATGACTACCGCCGCCCTTAATTACCCGCAACACCATAGGCATTACAGGTATGCTGCCGGATATTATTTTCATTTTTCTGTGCCAATAGGATGTTGATTAATTAATTCGTACCTATAGCTTTTTAGCACATAGAAAGTTGCCTCTAGATCAAATTACTGGTATGGTATAGCCGGCAGCACACCTGCAATGCCTTTGGTGTTGTGGGTGATCATGGGCGGCGGTAGTCACTTACCATCAGGTATCCGCATGCTCGTTTGCTCCGTATTGTAAAAAAAAAAACTGGTATTATAAATATACAATATCGCCATATAGCTATATCATCTCTACAATAAAAAAAAAAAAAAAAAACTAATGAGAAACCTACTTTCAACTCCAGGTTATAGTGAGAAGCGGTTAAGGAAACAAACTATAATTTTAAAGCATTATTTCTTGATTTGATTACACAGAATTTTTTTTTTTAATACAGTGACTCATATCCGCTCATCAAGCGTGTATTTTTAGATTGCTTCAGTGCAGTTTATATGTTTATTCCTTTATCACATATTAATACCAGTTCAACAATGCAGACGTTTAACTTGAACAAATAAGTAAACTTTGATCATATTAGCCAGTAACTGTCCACTGCTGAACGTAGGTCTCTTCCTTGAGGGGTTTGCCAGTAGTTGCCACGCTTGGCAAGCGGGTTGGCAACCGCAGTTAAGATTTAATGATGTTTTAAGACGGGTTCTGACGTTATACCCTTGTTTATGAAACTTCTTTAGTCACCTCTTACGAGATCCAAGGGAAAGGAAGGGGTGGCCCATTCTTTGCTGAGACCAAACGGCCAATTTTGCAATTATCTATTTGTCTATATTTATCTCTATCAGTATACAAACTCCAATCAGGGATAAATATAGATTCCTTAAATTATTATGAAATCAATTATAAACCTGCCGCTGTAATTTAATTTTACATCGTTATGCTTTTAAAAAAAAATTAATAAAATAATATTTTTTAGAATGATTAGTGTCAATATGCCACTAACAGAATAGATTTATGATAAAACATTATCCTCTGTTGTAACTATTTGATTATCATCAATGACGCCATTCATTGCCTTTGATTTACCTTGCTTTAGAGTACAGTCGATAAAGGTATCGAATAAAGACACGGTACAGTATTGTATGCGGAGTTCCTCAGTATAGTGACACAGTTAGTGCGATGTGAGACATTGAGTGGGTAGAAGAAAATATTTCTGCTTCGTAAGCGGAGACATGACAATGTTACAGCAGTCTTCTCGTGACTATGGCCGGTGTAGTCTGATCGAAACGTCGAGATCTTTGCAATCGTTAAATGTCCACTTTTATTGATTGTTTATTATTAGACACTGATTTACGATTCCATTTTTGGGATCAATATTTATTTTTAATAGTATTTTGGCCTTTGATATGATGATATGGTAGGTATGTATAGATATCTAGATTGCATTTTTTTAATTTTATCGTAATAAATGTCAGTACATCACAACGAATAATAGATAACGCACGTATTCATCGTTTCAATGACGTTACAATTATCGATTTGTGATATTAATAATAATTATTTTAATTTATATTAATAGTCAAATGAGTATTTTTTGTGAAATAAATATTTCTAGACCTGCTAGTGAAGAATTCAAGCCTGGGGATGCCGTGTCGGGACTAATTGGGTATGAAGTCGATGAGAAGACTGTATTTAATAAAATAACTGTTTCTTTAAAAGGATATGGATATTTACGTATTGTAAACAGACACCATAAAGAAGATCCTAAATACTATAACAAAGAAGAATATGTTAATAATGATAATGTTATAGTTGATAGTGAAATTGTGTTACCTATCGGTGAATATGAAACAAAATTTAGTTTCAAACTCCCAGAAAATATACCACCTTCTTTTGTGTATCATAATAACAAAAATGGTTATTGTATAAAATGCAAAATATTTTATTTTATTCAAATTAAATTTAATAGTCCTGATGTATTACGATCACCAGAATTATTCAAGAAAGAGATAAAAGTGGGAACAGTGCTTACTTCAAGTCTACTAAAAGAACCAACTGTATATAGTAAACAGAAGGAAATAGTACAATTGTTCTCCGGAAATAACACGATAACTATAAAGGCTGGTATTGACAAGTCAGTGATCAACAATTGTGAAATGTTAAAATTTCATTATAAAGTTATAAATGATACAAATGTTGCAATAAACAGTGTTGAAGTGAAACTAGTGGAAGTACACACATTTAATGCAACTGGATTGCAACCTGTAAAAAGGTATAATAAAGTTAAAGAAACAAAATCTAGGACAGCTTCAATAAAGGGTGGCGATATTCAAAAAAAGCATTTCGAAATCATTGTGCCATTTGATAAGAAAACATTGCAACATTCCAAAATAGTAAGCAGAGATTACTTTGTTAAAATACGTGTACTATTGCCATTGTTTCGCCAGAATTTTGCACTTTATATTCCAATCGAAGTCGGTGATGAAAATTTAACAGAACTATTTGAAACACGACGATCATATTGGGAGGTGATGGATGAATGTAAGGTGAACAAAGTGATAAACGATAAGGAGCACTGTATTACAAATAATGAAATATAAAATAAAAGTGAAAGCATTTGTAAAAGTATTTTATTTAAATTAAATATTGTTTTATATATTTATGTATTTTCAATATTAGGTACATTTTATTACATATATTGTAAATATGAAAATAGTATTTTAATAGTTCAACTGAGTGTTTCTACAATCTAGCGTATTGACGTCTTGGCTCTTGTCAGATTCTGCTCATTTTCTAAAACTTGTGTATCAAATTCTGATCTGATTGGTATCAAGCTGTTTTCATGGTGTGTTACTAAATGATACAGTATAAAGTCATCATTGTATTAATACGTGAAGAAAAAATTTGTACTCCTTTTTACGAAAATTGCGCGGACATCCGTCAGAGTATAAAATTTCGTACAGTTTATATAGATAAGGAGTTAGAATACTATTTTTTACATTATGCATAAAACAGATTAAATCAATAAAAAAAATTACGCTACCATGTACTTGACACACACACACAAACACACGTATATACTCTTTTGTTTATTATTAAAGTCTGTGGTCAAATTGACAAGAGATTAATATTGTTTGTCTTTAATATTATTTCGTCATAGTCGTAGAATACTGATGGATCTGACAAAGATTACATATAAAGATCCGTCAGTATTCTACGACTATGACGATTTGTCTATAGTCTTACTGAATGTCAAACATAACTATAATAAATTCATTTCAGACAGTACTTTTACATTCTTGACAATATATGTTATGGTCGAATTTTGACCACTGGCGACCACTAGTTAGTATGTATATGTCTATTATTTTTTACATGTTGAGTTGTATTCTCAAACTAGATTTTGAAGTAATATAAAAGTGAGTAAAACAGCTGTGCGGTCTCGGAATAGGATTGGTCACCCTTTTCTTTCCCGTGGGTGTCATAAGAGGCGACTAAAGGAACGTAATGGTCGAAAAATGGGCAACAGCGTCCCTTTTAAAACATCACCAAAGCCTAACTGCGGTCGCCAACTCACTTGCTAAGCGTGGTCACTACTAGGAAACCCCCTGAATAGGAGGAGGCCTATGTTCAGCAATGGACAGTTGACAGCTGATATTTTTTTTTATACAACATAGAATGGCAAACAAGCTGACGGCCCACTGGATGGAAAGTGGTAACCGTCGCCTATAGACATGAGCAGTACCATGGACATAACAGAGTATACTGTTTCGCCCATGATAACCCCTATGCGTTGCCATTCCTGAGGACTGAGGTGTTATTCCTCAGTACAGTCCAGTAAATTCACGCCATATCCCACCCTTCAAACCAAAACACAGCCATGCAAACACAACTGCTTCACGGTTGAAACACGAATGGGATAGAGGTACCCAAGCAATCGACTTTTGTACAAAGTCTCCCTCTGGTGATGATGATGATGGTGATGTTCATGAATATAAATGTGAAGATACTGAGCATTTGAAGGTTTCGAGTTGCAATACAACTAAAATTTTCACATACAATTCTTGCTATTCTAGAAATATCTAATAAACTGTTAACAAAAAAAATACTGCAACTGTAGTTGAAAATAAGGCCTAATAAATCGGGAGTTGTTTGTCTTGTGTGTATCATTAAGTCACGCGAGTGCTTTTTTTTTATTCAACTTAGAATGGCAAACAAGCTGACGGCCCACCTGATGGAAAGTGGTAACCGTCGCCTATAGACATGAGCAGTACCATGGACAAAACAGAGTATACTATTTCGCCCACGATACCCCCCATGCGTTCCCATTCCTGATCATAGACTGTGGTCTTTACCATCAAGTGGATCGTATGTTTGTCTGTTGACTCTTCCTTTGTACATATACTTAAACAAATTAGTGAATTTAGATCTGCAAAAAATTACAAGTATAGTACTTGTAAATTTTTGCATTACTTTTTATTTGCTTACATGCATTTATGTATTATTACCAGTCGAGTATTCTCGACATCATCTTCGATTCGATCTATCGAGTCATAGCTATTCATGAATAAGGATCATTCAAGATCCTTATTCATGAGTGACTATGGCGCGATAGTCCCGAAACTAGTAGAGCATCTTCGACAAAAGTAGTTTATTTCTTTTATTGAAGTTTGTAATCCTTATTGATTCTTATACTTACTGATTTAGAAAATTTAAATTAAATTGACAGGTGGATTATATGTAAACTTGACACGAAGGATAATTTATGTATTGATTTACGTAGGAAAAGCCGTGGGAAATAGCTATGTTAAAAAAGTAAAATGTGCATCTTATTCTTTCCGAAGTTGATTAGAAATAATTATATATATATATATATATATATGTGTGTGTGTGTGTATATATATATGTGTGTGTATATATATATATATATATATATATATATATATATATATATATATAGCAGCGTCGTATACATAGATACAGTGACCCCATACAAATGCTTCAAGAGAAGCGGATCAAAAATTTTCATATCATTTTGCGTGATAAATAGTTATGAGTAATTCCTTTATAACTTCTGTCTTTTAAGACATGTAAAGCAAATAAAAACTCGAAAGCAGTTAGATTAGAAGTAGCTTTATAATTATTAAAGAAAATATTTTTACAGAGAGAGATCATTTGTGCAACTACAAATTTTGTTATATAAAAATACATCGGGTAGAAGAAAAAAATAAAATAAAAAAAGATGACATGTAAATTTAATATGTCAGGCTTTAACAACTTCTATATTTATTTTGTCTTATAAACTCTGCGCTATTTTAATGCGCAATAACTCATTTTATTTATTAAATAATGAAATATAGATACGTCAAGGTACATTGTGTACGTAAGTATATATGTAGAACGTTAATAAAAAAAAACATGTCGGCTAATATGACAATTAACTGACAAAAAGTTAACCCGTTTTTATCAGGCTCGATGCTCTATCTATAGATTATATATCTAAGATATTAAGTTACTCTGAAATATCAATTTTTATGTGTGTATTCCAATATAAGTTTTTTTTTAGTCTAACATAAACTGTTACCAGTAACTTTTAGAGTAAGAATTAATGGGCAAAGTTTTAGATAGTATTTTTTTCTTCTGAATAAAAAAAAAAACATGCACGAACAAGTTTTGACGTTGGTCTTCGGATGCGCGCCAAGTTTTAATATTGCGAAATATACATAACAAACATTCTGTCAATGCCATAGGTTTGTATTCATTTTTACATTTTCTCTGAAATATTAAGAAATACATAGTGAGTGTTTCTTAATTTTATATACTATATATTATATTTACATTTTAATACTACTGGCTCTAAACATTTATAATCTTTTATTCCCATAACTACTAAAACTTGTGCCCTGATCACTGTAGATTCTTTATCTACGGTTGCCAGCTTGTTATAATATTTCTTACCATTTATACTCGTAGAAAAAAGAATAGGGTCCCATATTTTTACCATTCGTAGCCGTAGAAACAGTACTTACTATTATTCTTAGTCTATTATTAAAACTATATAATTAATTGCAGAAACTACAACAATACCTGACTTTTTTATACAACTTAGAATGGCAAACAAGCTGACGGCCCACCTGATGGAGAGTGGTAACCGTCGCCTATAGACATATGCAGTAGCATGGACATAACAGAGTATACTGTTTCACCCATGATACCCCCCATGTATTGTCACTCCTGACTCCCTGAGGACTCCCAGGCCATGCAAAAACAACTTATTTCAGAGGTCTGTACAAAGTCCCCTCTGGTACATATTCTGTGAATATTTACCAACTTCAATAGCATACATATCGACGTCATTGTGTTTTTTTAATAGATAATAATGGAATAGTAAAAACGCCTGCGCTAATGGCAGGACACCAGTGAGGGATGATAGGTGCGGATGAAAGCAGCAGGTCAGTTAGCCCATCGTGATAATTTCATAAAAAAAAATCAATCTAGATGGTTTCCAGGGGGGACAGCGTGGAGGTCGACCCTAAGGTATATTATAAGGAATGGAGCCTTTACTAACAATCTCTTTCCCTTCGACGTCATTGTGTTACCTGGTTATTACAATGTATATATCTTATGTGATTTGGAATAAAAGAACATATATTATAAAAAAAAAAAGCTAAAACTCAACACCGGGTAAATTAAAAAAAACTAGTAAAAAATTGTTCGCGAATGGATTCTACGAAATGCTCTCAGAATGCTTTTAGTTCGTGTCTACAGGAAAAGGAAGCAGAGATAGCTCTTGTGTAAGTAACAAAAGTATAATGTAATTAGAAAATAGGGCATATGTCCTTACTAATATTAGAAATGTGAAAGTGAGTTTGTTTGTTACCTCTCGTTACTTTATTGGCTTAACAAATCATTATGAAATTTGGTATCATCTCATCGTATCACAGTTAACGGTGCACTCATTCTCTCGTTAGCTTAAAAACCTCTGTTAAGTCCTACTATTATATCCCTTTAAATGCTATTTTCTCTCGTCTTCTCTATTCATCTTTCACTTTCATTCTCTCTTGTTGTATGTGTTCTATTAAGTATGTTTATATATATGTCATAGTCGTAGTTATATATATATATATATATATATATATATATATATATATATATATATATATATATAATTCTCGTGTCACGATGTTTGTTACCAAACTCCTCCGAAACGGCTTTACCGATTTTTATGAAATTTTGTGTGCATGTTGGGTAGGTCTGAGAATCGGCCAACATCTATTTTTCATACCCTTCAATGATAAGGGTGACCCTCCACAATTTTTTTTTATCATTTAATTGTATCATTTTGTATCATTTAATTGTAAATTTTTAATTTAATTAAAAAAATGAACTGTTATTACTTTATTAAAAATCGTACGTATATATACATAAATATATCATAAAAAAACTCATATCTAATTACGATTAAGTACACAAGAGAAATATCTTACGTCATCATACAGCTAGACGTATAATGAACAGTACAACGGAGACAGGAAACGCGTAATATGATTAACTATCCCGTATTAAATGAAGCCATTCATCAAACTAGCCCGAAGTCTGCGCTGTACAAGTTTGTTTGTGTTTCCATTTGGTGGCACTTCTCTTCTATATTCAGAGCAAAAATAGTATTACGAACAAGAGTCGAAGTTTGTACAACAATTTGATGCACTGTTTGTTCGCTTTGATATAATATTGTTTAGATAAACAATAGGGATAAATATTCGATATCTGTACGTTATACTATTTTGTTTTTTATTTATATTTTTATCCAACTTAGAATGGCAAACAAGCTGACGGCCCACCTGATGGAAAGTGGTAACCGTCGCCTATAGACATGGGCAGTACCATGGACATAAAAGTGTATACTGTTTCGCCCATGATATCCCCCATGCGTTGCCATTCCTGAGGACTCAGGTGTTATTCCTCTGTATCCTGTAAATTCACTGCCATACTCCACTCTTCAAACCGAAACACAGCTATGCAAACACAACTACTTCACGGTTGAAACACGAATGGGCCCAGATCTAAGATTAAGTTACTATAAGTAGGATTAGTTGTGTTTCGCGGCTTTGCTTTAGGAAATCAGTATATAAAGTACACGACGTGCTAAGTTAGGATATAATCTATCTAAATACTTAATTTCATTCAAATTTCTTCAGTAGTTTTCGTATGAAAGACAAACAAACATCCATCCATCCATTAATTATATTAATAGGATTTGATTTCAGGTCAATACAAAAGTATTGACCTGAAATAATGCTGAGTCAAATCCTATCTTGGTAGTAAATAAAGCGAACGACGATGTATTTTAAGGAGAATCTTTTCACTAGTCCTCATTTATTTTGGTCATGATTTCATTGCTAATTTTGAAATGATTTTAATAATTATTACCACAGTCTATATGATTTACTCATGCGTTAATTATATATTAATTATTTTATAATGACATAAGTATATTATTATTGCGTGTTTTTAATGTGAAATTAAGAACTAAATAAATATTTCTTTCTTTCTTTCCTTTCAAGTAAAAATTATAAAAGAAACAAAATTAAACTAAAATTTAATTTAAATGAGCAAATGTATTTGTGTGATGTCTCGCTATTCTTTGGTTTTATAATTAATTTTATAATTTTATTAAAACGACTAAGGGCATTTAATGGTCGAGTGATTGACATCAGCGTCCCTCTTAAAACATTTTCAAAGGCTAACTGCTGCCAAGCCTGGCAGCTACTGACAAAAGCAAAGGCCAATATTCAGAAGTGGAGAGTAGACAGTTGATATATCAACTAACTTAACTTTATGGACACACACTATTATACATGGTTTCTTTCATACATACACTTATATTACTTGCATACACCCACTCTAACTCGCTTAGGAATCAAAATTTTTGTTTGTATAAATAAAATCAGTTATTGGCTGTATTCACAAGAGACTTGGCATATTAGTTATTTTTAAGAGCTGTGGATTTTTGTATAAAATAAAATATATAAAATAAAAAAAATAGTTCTATTACGATTTATGAAGCCGACTATATTTTACAGATCAAAATTTACTTGTTAAAATTTACCGTTCTCATTTTGGAATCGAGTCACATAATAATTCAAGAATATCGAACATAGAACACGAAAAGATATTTGAAATATTATAGCAATAAATTTAAGGCATCATCAGATAATTCATAGATAAATTTATAAAGAAAATCTATCTGAATAATGGTGAGTGTTGAAGGTTTAATATTATCAATGATTACATTTTTGATGACGATTCGTCAGGAGATGAGAACGTTGTTAATTATCATCATCATGTTATGACATGTGTGTATATCGTATATATATATATATATATATATATATATATATATATATATATTTCTCAAACTTGCTTGGAAATGTGAGTATTATATATAAATGAAAATTGCCGTACTGACCAGATACATGTGGGCAGCGGCCGGCAAAAGTTGTATGAAAATCCATATCTGTCGTGTTTTGTGTCCACATAAATTACTATATAAACTCATATCTGTCCTGTAATTTAAAAATGGAATGACCTTTTACTTCAAAACATGGAGGTAACTAATTAAAGGTTTTATTTTAAATTTCGAACTGGCTTGCAAAAAGAAAGCTGTTTATTGAAAAAAAAAACAAAGGAACATTATGGCGCGTGAAAAATTATTATTGTTCGTTATTCGTCATTGAACTTAAAAAGTAAAATTGTGTTTTTTATTTCCGCGCATTGTTTGAGAAAAGTACTATACAAGTCTTGGCCACAACTAGGCATTGATGGACTCACGTATGTATTTGCACTTTCGTCCATCACTGCCTCAGTTGCTGGCCGCTACAGTAATGTACTATTCACGCCATATCCCACCCTTCAAACCGAAACACAGCCATGCAAACACAACTGCTTCACGGTTAAAACACGAATGAGACAGAGGTACTGAGATAATGGGTAATGAGATAGAGGTGGTAAAGGCTAAGTGCGGAAAAGATAATCCAATTTACATAACATTACATTATTATTTATTTATTTATTTATTTAACACTTTATTGTACCAACATAACATGATTTGTTAAACAATTTTCAATACGTATAGTGTAGTACAAAAGGCGGTCTTATTGCTAAGCAATCTCTTCCAGACAACCTTTGGGTAGAAGGAATTATGTCTGCTATCCAATATTTAATGTCGAAATGAAGAATCCGGTCGAAATTAATACCTGAATAGATATCCGACAGGTACATACAGGGCGATATCTGAATGGACTTGACCTTTTTTCAACTATCAGTATCCAGACAAACCCAATAAATAGATATTGAAGCAGTATAGATATTACCCATATCTAGTTGTGATGTTATTTTTTAAAGCGAGTTACCAATATTACTCGTATATTGGATCAAGAAGAATAATGATTACGCTGTCTAGTGTTTCACAAGATAATGGGTTATTTTAATATTTAGAGCACTTAAGAAATATTATGAAGGCGTAAAAAAAAACACTTTACCTCAAATAAACAAAGTCGATTAATGGATATTGTACATAAAAAGAGTATTATAAACACTCTGGAGAATGTTACAATATCAAAACCTTATTTACTTCTTGTTTCACTTTTTAGCCTTCACTAATAATAAGCGATCCTTCACTAATAATGTAAATCAATATGGATACGTTTGTTTCTATTTATCTAAAACAATTTTTAATTTTTCACCGCACAATTACACCCGAGGAAGACTGAAAAAAAAAGACGTCGTCGTTTTGCGTGCCTGTGTCCCGTTCGTGTTTCTATCGTGAAGCAGTTATGTTTGCATGGCTGTTTCGGTTTGAAGGGTGGGATATGGCAGTGAATTTACAGGGTACAGAGGAATAACACCTTAGTCCTCAGGAATGGCAACGCATGGGGGTTATCATGGGCGAAACGGTATACTCTGTTATGTCCATGATACTGCTCATGTCTATAGATGGCGGTCACCACTTTCCATCAATTTGTTTGCCATCTAAGTCGCATAAAAAATAGTGTTTCGCTTAAGGTTTACTGGGAGAGAATGCTATATAGCATTATGTCCGCTTTTTGTATCAATCATTATTTGTAATGTGGTCACTAAAGATGATATGGAGCTAAATTTTATCATCATAGGTAATTGGCCTCAGATCTCAAAGGTGATGATGACATTGAACGGGAGTGGAGGGCGGAGGCTGGCGGTGAGGGCGAATATGATAGCACGCATGTTTGCGCAGTACTCTAGACAAGTTGAAGCTATGTTATTTAGATCATATTGCACATCTTTCTATGCATGCAACCTGTGGGCTGTATATACTCAAAAATCCTACAGCGACCTCCGTATGTAATAGAATAACGCGTTCAGGGTGTTGATGGGGCTGCCACGATTCTGTAGCGCGTCAGAGATGTTCGCCGAGCATCGTGTAGATTGTTTTTATGCCACGATGCGAAAAAGGTGTGCATCCCTGGTGCGCAGAGTACGTGCCAGCGCCAACAAAATCCTGAGTATGGTAGCAAGCAGGCTGCACTGTGTGTACGTTAATCGCTGCTGCGCAATTTCCAATGCAATTGTGCAGCGGTGATTAGCTGTATATTATTTAATATATTATGTGTGTGTGTATTGTGTATGTAAATTTACTAACATTAGTTTTAAGAATATTGTTACTAATAAATATTTAATGGACCAAAAAGTCCCAAATAAAACTTATTATTATTATTATAGTTGCTTAACTAACCACTAAGAATCTTGGTATACGCGTACTATATGTCATGGAAAAGGACATAGGCCAGTTTTTATTCCAGTCAGTGTATATATTCTGGTTAATTGGTCGAAATTGTGGGCAGAATTTAGTATTTTATAACTTTTAAAAAACAAAACTATACGTAAAATAGAAATACCTTTTTTTATAAAGTAATATTTTCCAATAAGGTGCTTTATTTTTTTTTTGATATAACATTTAGTAAAAGTTGTATAATTATATTTATTAAAATATATATTTATGTACATCCTTTTATTAAAAAAAAATCATAAATGCGTCAATTCTCTCATAAACAAATTTTAACTATTACACTGTTTTATCACATTAAAATTTAGTACAAATAAAAGTACAAATTTTTTACTTCTGCCACGACAAATTTATACTGCTAAGTACTAAGTCAGTAAAAACCTGTTACTGACTTTTTATATGGATAAATTGTTGTTATTTTAATCTATAATTTAAAAGCTGTTGGTTTTCTAAACAATAAATAAATGAACAAAAGAAAGAGGCAAAACAGTTAAATACCGTTAAATAGGGTTATGAGAAAATTGACGATTTTATGAATAGAGCATATTTCTTGGGTTGGATTCCAATAATATAGGTTTACAACAAAATACAATAGGTTTTTTCATTCATTCATACAAAATAGTACTTAAAACTGTAATGTGTGAAATAAAGTACTTAGTTATTTCGTATTCAAAGACGCATATTTTCCCAGACGGCTTTTTTTATATAAAAGTAAATAATATAATCTATTATATATTTATTAAAAAAAAATAGTACTACCTTCGTAAATAGACTTACCTTCATAGTAGTTCAGAACTTGAGCAATCACACTTGACCACATCATTGGTATTATTTCACATGTTCTATATCATATTTAAATGTTATACACATTTTTGTTCACATAAATTCTAACTAAATAAATACACTACTGTAATTTAAAAATTTGTTTATTTATATTACTTATAATATTTATACTTTTATTATCTCATTTATTTATATTTGTTACATTCAAAATATAAGATGTATTTTAATATATAATTTTTATTGACCTATTTAAATTGTAAGTTATTCAATTATATTTTAAATTTATTTGATTATTATTTGTATTTTAGAAATAAATAAACGAAAACTAGTACAAAAGAAATTTAGTAAAAGTTAAATAAATATTAATTAAATCAGTTTTAATAAGATTGTAGATATAGTAGAATGTATATATCTTTTATATTTTATCTTATCTCATATAAAATTAATTTTGTATTATGCCAAACAATCACAATAACATATTAATTTCGATTAATAATCATTAACGATAATTAAATCACAGACAGACTTATGTTTGTATAAAATAATGAATATGGCTTTAAAGAATATTTTTATGAAATACACTTTTGAAAAATGATACAAATTAAAAATAGAATCAGAATATTATATAAAATTATTAATATTAATTTATGTTTAATTAAAACAATAAATTATATTATGAATGTTATTGCTATTAATAGAGCAATTATTTTAAAAATATGAATGCTAATATTTTATGTAGCGTTTTATTAAGATTTGCGATAAATTAATGCAATTAAAAATGTAATGTGATAGCACTGAGTCTTCACAATTAGACAGAGACATAGATTAATTGTGGCTTTTAATTATCCAACTTCATGCGACTTATAAGAAAATATATTTATTTGTAATACTATAATGAACTAATTATAAACTTATTAAATTAATAAAACTAATGATTGTTATTTTAAACATAAAACCAGCAAATAAGAAACAATAAAAAATCTAAAAATTATTAAAATTAACTAAATTTACATTAAAAAATAAATAAATAATGAACTAATAAAACAGAAATATAAATAAATTATTCATTACATAAATTTAAGTGTAAAAAATTAATATTCGATTTTACTTATAATACATAAATTTTATAATGTATAAAAAACACAGGGCATAATTAATTATTACACACTATTTACATATTCGAGTATCATACTATGTTTGGGGACTTAATTACCCATATATTTCGTATTTTGTTATGACGGTCAGTCGTAGAAACTTTGAAACGTAGCGCGCTCCGCGTAGCAGGCGTAGCGGCCGCTCTACGCCGTAGCAAATGCGAAACTGCCTTATTGTAGACAGGTAGTGAGTATTGGAGACTATTTAAGGCTCCGATGCGTTGATCTAAGGTTTTATCTAAGGCTTTATGTTTCGTGTACTAGAACATTTATAAGGCTTTATTGGGAATTAGGTCGTAGTATAAAATGAAATAATTTATAGTGTGATATTGAAATTAATAACACCCTTTTAAGCGAAAGGTTTAATAGCTGAACATTTGTCTTAAATAAACATAGATCGAAAACAATAAAAAAATATTATCGTTTGACATGTAGAATGCCAATATAATTAGGGTATATGTTATCCCTCTGTACCCTGTAAATTCACGCCATATCCCACCCTTCAAACCGAAACACAACCATGCAAACACAACTGCTTTATGGTTGAAACACGAATGGGACAGAGGTATCCAAGCAATCGACTTTTGTACAAAAACACAGGGGGCAAACGAGCATACATCTCACCTGATGGTAAGTGACTACTGCCGCCTATGAGTGTTAAAGAACAAAGTTGTCACGATTGACATAATCCTAACTAAATATTTAAAATGTGAAAGTGAGTTTGTTTGTTTGTCACCTTATAGGATCTTAACGGTTTAACTAATCACTATGAAATTTAATGTACACGTACTGTATGGAACAGGGAAGGATATAGGCTACTTTTTTATCCTGGTCAGTAAAAACATCCTGGTCACGCGAAGTCGCAGGTAAAAGCTAGTATTTTGTATAATTTAGAAATCATGGTATAAACGCAATGCATGAAATGTCTTTTAAGTATTTTATCTTCTTAACGGGAAAGATTAAAATCATGGTGCATTAATGGCTTTAGTTAAAATATAGGGCCAGTACGAATTATAAGTACGCCATGAGGATTCCGTATAAAATTACAATACTTATTAAACCTAATAATATAAAGAAAATATAGAAAACGTGAAACGTAAAAATAATTGGTAATCCCTTCTAAGAGCTGCATGCTCTTGATGAAGGTTAACGGGCAGACTTCATCATCATCATCATTCATCACCTTAGCTATTATTCGTTCACTGCTAAACATAGGCCTCCCCCATAGACTGCTATAAAGAATGGTTCTGAACTATTAACCTGCATTCACTGACTCTAATTATAAATTTATAATTCTATATTATAAATGTGAAAGCTAGATATATGTTTGTTTTTTTTGGTAACTTGTTCTCAAGTAAAAAGAATTGTTGATAAAAGCTATTATGTGTATTATTAACATCACAGGAGCTAATAACTTTCATTGCTGAAGATAGGCAATTTTCTATGAGAGGGTGGAGGGGGGAGGAGGGGTTGCCAGTAGTTCCCATGTTTGATGCACGGGTGTGCAACCATAGTTAGGCATTGGTGATGTTTTTAAAGGGACGCTGCTGCTCATCCCTTCACTATAAGCTCCCTTAATTGCCTCTTACGACACCCACGGGAAAGGAAGGGGTGACCTATTCTGTGCTAGGACCTATATGGCATGGTCTTACTGATGTTGCCTATCTTTGGACGGATTTTTGGATTATTACGTAAATATGTAAAATATATATATATATATATATATATATATATATATATATATATATATATATATATATATATATATATATATATATATGTATATATACATATATATATATATGAATATGCATATATATATATATATATATATATATATATATATAAGAAAAGAGCATATTCCTTCTTAAAAAGTCGGCAACTCACCTACAACTTCTTTGATATTGCGGACGCCTGTGAACGACAGTATCCACTTACCATCAGGTAAGCTGCAAGTTCGTTTGTCCTTATATTTAAAAAAAAAATGTCCACCTGCATATACATACCTTACGCCTGTCTCTTATTCGAGTATGCGGAATTAATTCATTATTCAAATATACGTGTATAATATCCAATCATAAATTTACAAACATGGCCGTGTAAAAAGAAAGCCGAAATCCTTTCTCGTCAAAATGTTTCAGTGTAAATTTACAAGCGAATTCTAATGTGAAACAGAGTACTACCGACCGCAGTGACGGAATGAAATTTAAATATATTATACCAACAACAAAATGTATTTTATTTCAACGTCTCTTTTTAGGGTTCGCAGTCAGTCATGAGAATTGATTTTTTGTTGTTACGTTTCCGCTAGTCATTCGTGTAATAACTATTTTTTAACCGCGTCTTCGTCTGCGTGACTGAGGTACACTTATTAATAGAGATAAAAATTAATCTACCTACATATTCTTCTCCATCTCATATAATACTTGGTTAGCACCAATAAGTAACAAATAAACAACAAACTCATTTATTCTCTCTTTTAAATCGACTATAAAACCACGACTAATCTTAACAGAGTCTCCGTGGTTCTATGACGATAGTGGATCGTCGATGAAGCTCTCCTTCGCGATTAAGGTCCTTGCAATACGTCTCCATCTACTTCTGCTTACAGCCGAGCGAGAGCATTCCACAATATACTACTGTGTAGCCGTGTATATTATATATATATATATATATATATATATATATATATATATATATATATATATATATATATATATATATATATATATATATAAGCAGTATATATATATAGTATATAATACAGAATAGAAAACAAAAAATCAAATGAAGGCGGATATATATATATATATATATATATATATATATATATATATATATATATATATATATATATATATACGTCAATGGCAGTGAACGAAGGTTAGTAACTTTTGACACCAGAGGGCGTCACCGTCAAACAAGTAGTAGTAATAGTACAGGCTATTTTATTTTATGGGACTTCGTCCGAGTGACTGGGATAATATATCTCCTCCCACTATCCCATCCCATAAAGTATGTGCATACTAAATTTCATAGTGTTTGGTCAAGGCGTTATAAAGTAACATACAAATGAACACACTCACTTTCACATTTATAATAAGTAGTTTTACCATAAAATGACAACGTAAGTATTATTATTTCATCTATTAACTGTCCACTGCTGGACATAAGCCTTTCCCATAAGGGGAGGTTTGCCAATAGTTGCCACGTTTGGCAGGCGGGTTGGCAACCGTAGGCCTTTGAGAATGTTTTAAGAGGGACGCTGTTGTCCATCCCTCGCCTTCTCTTAGTCGCCTTACGACACCCACGGGAAAGGAAGGGGTGGCCCATTCTATGCCGGGGCACACACGGCAAGTATTGTAGTGTTTTAGTTTTGGTATTAAAATATAATTAAAAATAAAAATCTTTGTACAAAATGATACTGTTTTAACTAATAGAAAATGATATAAGCTGGCATTGACCGTTTTAGGTACGCCATGGATACATCCCATTAATATACGATGCAAATCTTCCATTGTACCACATATACCGTAGAGGCTTTGTAGTGACTTCACTATTTCGGGAATACTCGTATATGCATATTGAGAGACTACGGCTACGCATTCCAGGATTACGTTGGCAGCCCATACTTCAACGTTAAAGCCGCCTCAGCATAGAGTGATGTCTATGGCGCTTATTGTGCAACAAGGTCGACATTAACATACAGACATATAGGTAGAAATCTCATTATTTATTGCAAACATGCTGAGGAGTTTATTGTAAGTATCATAAGAACACCGGTCAACTGTAAGTCGAACTTACACGCTAAAAGTTCCACACATAAATAGATAATAAATAATCCAGAGGGAGTCTTTGTATAAAAGTCGATTGCTTGGGTACCTCTGTCCTATTCGTGTTTCTACCGTGAAGCAGTTGTGTTTGCTTGGCTGTGTTTCGGTTTGAAGAGTGGGCATATGGCGTGAATTTACTGGTTACAGATGAATAACACCTGAGTCCTCAGGAATGGCAACGTATGGGGGGTATCATGGGCGAAACAGTATACTCTGGTACTGCTCATGTCTATAGGCGACGGTTACCACTTTCCATCAGAAGGGCCGTTAGCTTGTTTGCCATTCTAAGTTGTATAAAAAAATTACCTTTACTGATTTTCTCATACGAAATAAATACCTAATAGTTTATTGAATCTTCTTGTTTGAATATGGTCAAGTAATGATACAATAATAACGTTCGTTCGACATCTTTTCCACGTGACTTTATTTAAATCTCATTTCAATCACGTTAAAAGTCGTCCTGCTAAACAATTTACATGTTTTTTAATTTATAATCACGTTTTAAATTAGACGCTTGAATTTGGGTTCTTTATCAAAAACAGACTATTTACAACTCTGTGTGAAAAGTTTTTGTAATTATAACTAAATTGCTGAGTTTGAATGAAATGTACATTAGGAAGGCCATCAAAACTTACTTATTTGTAGGCTTTACTAACCCTGCTTGTAAAGGAATAAAGAGGACATATTTTTTTTAAAACAAAAATGAAATCTAATGATTCATATTCGCTGACTATGACCTGGCATAATACCGAGAATTCAGACGACATCACCATTCCATTTTAACTTCCTTAAAATTTCACTAACTTAATAAATAGTTGCTAAACAATGTAAAGTATGTATGTATATCAATAATTACTAGTACCGCATTCGAGTATTCTGATTCTTCCCTATGGTTGACTGGGAGACAATGCTTTTAGCATTAAGTCCGCCATGTACACATACATATATGTACTAATGAATAAATAAAAATAAGTATGTTTTGTTCCCTTAGGGGTTGGGGAGTGGAAGTAATTGTTAGCAATGGAGTTTGACAGCCCCATTGCTAGCAATATGCCCTATTAGGTCGACTTCCACGTGGTTCCCCCTGGAAACCATCGTGAACAATTCTTGTTGAACTCGTCACAATGGGCTAACTGACCCATTTCATCCTCACCTATCATCCTTCACTGGTGCCCCGCCGGTGTATACCGATAGCGCGGGTGGAGTTACCATTCCATTATCACCCATTAAAAAAAAATACATCTCGAGGATTAAATGTATAGTAATACATTATATTCGTAACACGATGTTATATGAATGTACAGTATCATCAGCAGCAACATGATTACCAAGAAATCCTATTACCGATTTGAATTAATCCATTCACGTAGATAACAAAGCGGTGCGGTGTTGTGTTTGAATATACAGGAATTATTT